AAATAGAAGAAATAATATATGGAAGAAGGAATAACATTTTGGTAATTCGGAAAGGCATATTGCAGGAAGCGGAAAAAGAAGAAAACTCGGCAATTAAGCAAACAACGTTTGAAACGAATTTCCATTGCATTTTAATAGGTATTTCTCTGATGGTAATATATATGTAACGAACGTAAAATTCAATTTCGCGCAGTAGAAAGGAATCTTGCGGGGACAAGTAGAATCGGTGTCGTGAACTCGCGTTGACAACGAGCGACTATTACGAATTTCTCGCGACGTAAGAATGCTATTGACCATAAAATTTCGCGAAAATCGATATCCATTTCGAACATGACGAACTTGAAAATAGATAGTAATATATACCATGAAATTAGTTGTTGGAATTTACTTTCGTCCTCTTCTTAAAATTTACGAGCTCCACGAACGATTAAAGATTCATAGTTGAACGAAAAGAGAGAGATTAATTTTTTTTTTCTTCTCTAAAGAATATTAAGTATTTTAAAATACTTTTCACGAAACGTAAAATAGAATTGTCTTCGTGTCGTGCAATTTGACCAAAGACGTCTCTCTTTTTGATTCTAAACGATTATCGTGTCATTGACCACGATGAGCCGGAATTAAATTCTTAGAAGGACTTATGTACGTTGATAGATACGTGGGTGTTACGAATTCTTCCTGCGACACGTCAATCACCGGATTTCTCTCATTTACCCTCTACTATTCGAAACGATAGATTTAGAAATAGTCATAACTCCATCAACTCGATTTAACATTGGTTCCAATTTATTTTAAACCGCGCGATCGAACTCGTCTGCCATTAGCACGATTGAATTATTTATATTTCGTTTTATATTGCACACGATTACAGCGCGTTCAATTATTAAATAAGTGTAAACGCAGAGATAATTAACGTAATGACAAAGTAAAAAAAAAAAAAAAAAAAAAAAAAAGAAAAAGCGAGACCAATCTGGAAAAAAATGTACACCAATAGCTCCTTTTTAAATAAGTTTCACGCGAGGATCGTTAAAATTTTACGTTCTCCTCCAAGACAAGACTGGTACATCCTCGTCAACGCAATTATTCCATGACGGTCGTTCCACGGCAAGGATTTTACGCGATTTCGACTCGTAGCCATAACTTTCCTCTCTCGTGTCGTGTTGTGTTCGTTGCCCGACTTGGTAGCTTCGTTATGCTTTCTTTATCCCTAGTCGCGCGTTTAACGAGACAATTGGCGTTTCGCGAGTCCCCAAAGCGCAACGCCTCGGGGATTTTTCTTTCCCTTCGATCGTCTCGCCTGGATGCTGGTGGAAACAACTACTAGAAACTTTCCACGAGGAAAGTACAAAAGAATCTTAGCGTTCGAGGAGGAGCCGAGGAAACCGAGTGTTGTTGCTCGATTAACGATTCGCGTAACATCGCGTGCCGGAACAACAGCTATTAATCCAACGAATAAATTATTCCGTTCCGTTGAATAATTAAATAGAATTATCTCGATGATGTTACGGATCTTTCCTAATAATAATAATAATCCTCCAACAGGTGACTACCAAGAGATTGAAAAGCGTGGAAACTATCGTTCTATTTTTCCTATTTTCGCTTGTTTTTCGACAAATATCTCAATCCTCGATTCATTTTCCCGCGACAGAGGGAGATTAGACGAGCTCATTTCGATCAGCCTCTCTAGCACATCTAACATTTAAGATGTTAAAAATCATTACTCTTCTAAAAACGTATTCTCAATACCTTTTTTAATTTTTGTCGATCAACCGACTTTCGCGTCTATGAGGAATAGCAATTTGGCTGGTTCGAGCTCATTTCGATCAGCCTCTCTAGCACATCTAACATTTAAATTTTTGTTAAAAATCATTACTCTTCTAAAAACGTATTCTCAATACCTTTTTTAATTTTTGTCGATCAACCGACGTCTACGAGGAATAGCAATTTGGCTGGTTTGGAACAAGGTGGTGCGATAGTGGTGGTGGTTTTTTGGGCGGCTATGGCCCCGATAAAATCGGGGCGGAAGCGATGACAACGAGGTGGGTAGAGAGCGGCGTCGTCTCTATGGCCGGTGTCCGATTAATCAGAAATTAATAGGGCACAAGTAACGCGGCAAATTTACAGGCAAATGTTTTCATTCGTGATTAATATTCGCTCGCATGAAAAGGGGGAGGAGATATCAGGGCCGATATAATCTGGCCGATCGCGTCGCGCCGATGTATAAATTATTTCAAACTATGTTTCCATTTATCGTTCCATCGATTATACCGTCCTTACCCCTCCGCTCTTGTTTTTATCCCGCTTGCATAAATCCACCGTTTCGATTCGTTCTCCCTCTGATGACACAGAAATCACCGCTTCGTGTTGAGGGGACGTAATTTTTTGAAATTAAAAAATTACGAGCTGAACAGAATCGATGGTGGAAATGAAGAAGCACGCACGGATGTAATTGTTTGTCTTGATAGTGTTTCCAAAGCAAAAGAAATATTTCCAGATAGACGAGGAATATACAAGGAAATGAAATTTTGAACGAGAGAAAGACTGGCTCGCGTTTACTTTTCTTAATTTTCACTCACCTCGAGCGTTAATATATTAATTGATATATCAGATCGGTGTACTACGAATGTAAATTCGAATTATGTAATAAAACGGCTGTAACAAAGTAACAGGGGCGCATCAACGAATAATGTTACGAGAAACGTACACGCGCTTTATCTTTTTCTCTTGCTTCGTGTCCAGTTAAATTGTTCTACGCGACACGGACAATTTCGAGAAATATGGGCTCCTGGACGAGGGAAAACGGAGGAGAAATTAGAGATCGCTTTTGTGTTTCCATTTCTAAACCTGCTTCGAGTTTCTTTCGCAAAAAAAAAAAAAAAGACGAGGCTATTTCCGACCAGATTCATTGATGCAAATTTCGCTAAAAGCCATATAATCTTTGAAATAGACGAGGATAAACGGCGGAGGAACGTCTAAATGATACTAATACGGAATATTTATGAGGTAATATAGGGTAAGCGTAATCACTCGTTATCACTCGTTCCGCGAATAGTTCGTATTCACCGATGTTTCGAGGTAGTTAGCGACAAAGGACACGGATAATCTTGTTTCGCGCGATATCCCGAGGAAAAATACGCGGCTCGTAATGCGTTCCATTGCATGGCGGGCAATAAACGCGTTTCGAGCAGCCTCGTTTCCGTTTCGTTGTTGCCTACTTATCTTTTACACCTGTTCATCCATCGACGTTATTTCCCGATTGTTTGAGCGCGCGGATCATCTTTTTTTCTCTCTCCGTCTCGAATTCGTTCCACGCTAATTGAATTCACTTTTTTTTCCACTTTTTTTTTTTTNTTTTTTTTTTTTTTTTTTTTTTTTGTTACTCCTCCCTTCGCAAATTTCAAAGGAAATTTATATTTAAATTTTTCCGTTGCGTTTCTGCGATCAATTTAATTCCTCTGTAACAAAATAATGCTTCTCTCTCCCTGCGTCGGTTTAGAAACTGCTTTTTTAGATTCGTTTTTGTCGAGATCGTTTTTTGCATGCCAACTAAATGAAAATCGCTCGATTAATATAGGAAACGAACCGTGTAATTGTTTTTTCAAACGTATATATATATATTTGTATGTATGTATATATGTATATATAAATACATTCCTTTATCTTGGAACAAAACGAAACGAAGAATTTTTAATCGTACATGTTAAAAAGTGTGTTATTCACGATCATTATCCGATCGTTTTTACGTACGTTTGCTTGCTGGTTGGATGGAAAATGGCGAGTACCATGGAGATTGGCGAAAAGGATCGTTTTATCGGTCGCATTTATTCGAAAGAACTCACAGTTTTGATCGATGGTAATCGTTTCGTGTCCGTAAAAAAAAAAAAACAAACATTGGCAGCGATGGAGAGAGAAAGAGAGAGAGAGAGACGCCGATTTTTCACTTTTGTTCATTCATATTCCCTCCCGTAAACTCGATCGATTTCGCGTTATCGTCCAAGTTTCACCCTCGCGCCTCTGTTTTAATTCGCCACCGTTGCTCGCCCTATTTTTCACCGCCGACCATCGCACGATTAATCCAGCGACCAGCGTTTGTCTCTGCATATTTCATCGATTTCCCGCAACTGTCACTCTTTTAGGCGAGACTCCGTTGAAATTTTGAACCGATCAAAATTAATCGCGCTATTAATCGGACAAGCAAACAATGCTTTTTCTTTACGAAGGAATCGTTTCTACAATTAACATTCGATAATCTCTTTCTTTCGCCGCGAATAAAAAAAAAAAGTGTGATATAATATGCCCGAATCGAGAATTAATTTGGAATATCAAAGTAATAATCCTTTTTTAATATTAATTCAACATTTCGGTAATAACTCCTTTGTAAAAAAATTCAATTTTCTTCGATACCTTTGTCGAATAAAGTGAAATAAAAGAATGAAAAATATAACATCGATTGTAATAATGACCGAATTAATTCGAAATTTCAAAGTGAAGGAACCGCGCATCGATGCAATGTGAAATACTTATGATTGCGAGCGAAGAAATCCTTTTTAAAATTAATTATAAAATAAACGTTTCTCCTTTGTCGAATCGAGCAAAAATTCAATTTTCTTCGATACGATGGTGTCGAATAAAATAAAACTAAGAAAAGGTATTACGACATCGATTATAATAACGATATATAATCGAATTAATTTCGAAAGTAACGGCGCATCATTGTGAGATAGAATACTTGTGACCGTATTCGCGAAGGAATCCCATTTAAAATTAACTTTAACGTTCGAACAATCTTGCTTCCCCGTCGCAAAAATTAAATTTTTCGATACCCTGGCGTGGAATAAAATTAGAGATACGATATCGATCGTAATAATACAATTCGTAATAATTCAATTGGAAATTTCAAAGTAATGGGAGGGGATGGAATAAACGCGAACCACGAGCGAGGAGGAATAACTTGTTTCGAGTTGAAACGTTGCTCACAGGAGGCTGTTGGAATTTTTTTTCAGATGGAAACGAAGGGGGAGAGAAAGAGTAATTGCAAAGTGGCGATGATCCCCTGCTACTAACAGAGTGTGGAGAATTAACCGAGTTGTTGAAGTGAGAGCCGCATTAACGTGTTATTAACGTCATGTAACCGACATCGCGAAAGTAATCATGGAGAAGGTATGCAGGCCTGCTTGGAGTAATCCTCGACCCATCAAGGGTAAGTCGATTTTCCTTTCTTTCTCTTTTTACCAACCTATCTTATCCTTTATTTATTTATCGATTAACCGCATGCGCTTTTCTCTTTTCTTTTTTTTTTTTTGCCTCTCCGCGGGAGGGAAGAAACGAGCATAATCATCCTTGCCCCGTTCCCAGGGCAAATGTTTCTTCGCGGACAGATCAATTACGAGTAATAAATTGGCGTCTGATCAAAGAGATCAGACGCCGGAAATCGGATCTCCGAATCGAAATCGCTTCGAGATGGAAAGCAAACCTGGAATCGAATCGATTTAGTTGGATCGAAACAAAATTGAATCGTATAATTCGATGTGCTCGATCGAGGATGATCGACGATGAAATCGTAGCTCGTGTCGCTTTATCATCGATCGAAACTGCATTCGCGAAACGCTTTTTTTTTTCGAGAGAGCCACGCGTTTTCGATCGAGAACAGGTTTCTTTTTTCCCTCCTCCGCTTTTTCTTTCTTCGCACAATCGTTCCGCGAAAGAAATTAGCGGAAAGGAGAGGCGGACGACCGACGCTTGGCGCGACACTTTCGATTTCGTTTTATTTCGCTCGAGAAGCAATACCGGTTGCGGACGAGCGAACCACTTTCTTCGCTCGGGATTCTGTCGCATCGAGACCGTTCGTAGATATAATTTCATCTGGAAACCGCAATAAGGGGGAACGATAGACTTTCTCGGGGGAGGGGGAGGGGAAGGGTCTCTGTCCCCGATCGAGAGTTGGAATGATCTAAGAGTGATTATCACGAGCGAATTATCACGAATCGAGTCGAGCCGAGTCGATCGATGCACTCGATGATTTCTCGCGCTCGGTTCGGGGATCGTATTTCGTGTATGAAATAGAATTGGGACAACGTCGTCCGGTTCAGAACGAGGAAATATTGCGTCGTGGCAAAAACTGGTTAAATGGCGCGATAAATTAAAACTGGATTTCTCTGAAATTTTATTCAAGTCACTTTTTAATGTTTGGAATGGGGGAAAAATTAACTCGTGGATAAGAAATTTTTCTATAATCGAACGTATTATCTTACGCGTTTCGGGGGATTCATCGAAACATTTTTTGGAAATTTTGTTCAACTTTTTTTTAAGATTGGAACAATCTTCTTGGTGGAAGGTTTCGATCTCTGATTTTATTTACAACCTCGAGAGAAAACACGAGGTATCGCACGAAAAACTGGAAATTTTGTTCGACTTTTTGAACCGATAGAAACGACAAGGAACGAGAAAAACGACAAGGAACGAGAAAAACTTAACTCGTGGCGCGATTTAGAAATTTTTCCACGGGACAAATTGATGTATTTTAGACTTCGAACAAAACACTTCGAGATATATAGATCAAGATAACGATTTATAATTATTTATGGGCCCGAATAACGAATAACTTTACGCACAATGGACGAACGAGTCCGTAAATTCATTAATCAACACGATTTTGTTCACCGCGATTTAATCATTTAACCAGATCCCTATTGTCGTTTCGACAACTTTACACGCGTATCCGTGTGTACCCGATTCATCGATCAGCTGGACATTCCCCGTCGATTTGCTCGGAGGATGTTCTCGAGAGATGCTCTCGTGTCGTGCGTGGAGATCAAGGAACCCGTTTAAAAGGAATTCCATTCGCGTAATTCCATTAGAGCAGGATGTTCGATCCTTTAAATCCACCATTCGTCTCGATAATTTACCTTCGTTTCGTACAATTTCATTATCGATTTTATACAATTTTCCATCGTTTAAAATTCTCGGCGTACCTCTACGAAACCTGAATGGATATTTGGAACGCGCCGACAATATATTCTAATCATCGCCGCTTCGTCATTACACCGTGTATCGACGATGTATATATTCCGCTCATTGCGCTCATCACCGATGACGCGGTGTTTGGAATATATTGCGGACGGTGGAAAATTTTCTTCGTATCTTCGTTATCAGACAATTTATTTTAAATAAATTTTAAATAAAATATATATTTTATTTTTTAAAATATATATTTTACTCGCGCGATTCGACGAAAAAGTGGATTTCTTTTCCTTTCTATTTTCTTCATTCACTCGCGAAAACAAGGTTCTCGCGAGGTTTGTCTTGCAGTTTCTTAAGCGCGCGGCTTTTCCATCCATTCCAATATTTTTTTCGCATTCCTGTTCCTGTCGACGTTTCTTTGCTCGTTCTCTCACGTTCCAACCAAGCGTGTTTGCACGTCTCACCACGGTTTTCACCGTTCCTTCCTCGTTTCCTTCCTCGTCTCGTTTCTTTTCTTCTCTTTTCCTTTCCTCCCCTCTCCCTCCCCCTCTCTCTTTCCCTTCCCTCCACCGACTCGAGCTTCTAATGAGCGCACTTCCTTCCGTCGAAATTGAATACTCCCTCGACCAGAAGAGTTATGCTTGCTATCGGTTTATTCCGTCTCGAGCCGGGGAAGGCGACGAAACTATGCTCTTGCTTCGAAAGTGGACGGAGAGGGGGTGCGCGTTTCAGATGGCCAAGAGGGTAAGAGAGAGAGAGAGAGGGAGGGGAGAAATTTATGCAGATTCGTTGGTTATGAGCGTTTGCAATTTACATGCGACGCATGGCCCGTTAATGGACTGGGATGGTTCTCGCGCGTGAAACTTTCATTAGACGCGTCAAACACGCGCGAAAAATCATTTTTTTTTTTTCTTTTATCAGGCTTTATCGGGTTTCATAAACTTTAACCCCTTCTCTCCCTCCTCAAGTGTGATTCGTCATGAAACGTTTAAATCGTTCGTGGATAAAATAAAAGCGTGAATACGAAATCATTTTATACACGTGTACGCGGGTCCTCGAAATTCATTCTCAATTTTCAACGAAATTTTAAACGGGAAAATTTTCAGCTCGAGTTTTTCGTCCCGATAAAGAAGTCGTGAAAAACGCCAGGGATTGGATCTCCCTTCTCTTCAATTTTTCCCCCACACGTCACGTAACGCGCTACTCGTTTTATTTGCATTCAAGGTTGTCCAATTCCGCGTCATTACCAACCTGTTTACCAATTGTTTACGCAAACGTATTCGCGTTAAAACTTGGAGAATAGCTTTAATTAACGCGGCATTAAAATAATAATAACGATACGTCCGAATATATCTTTCGAGGTCGTCGAATAGACTCCTTCGAGCACAGTCGTTAAATTATATGAATTAAACCGTTGGTAAAAATGGACGCGTTATATTTTTTTTTTCTTTTCAAGCTTTGTCGAATTCAATCGACTTCGATACGTTATATTCGATCGTATCGTATCGTCTTTTGAAGGAACGCTTCGTTCGCTGTTACACAACTTCGCTGTATCCTGTTCCAAGTTCGTTCAAGATTACAGAGTTCTCTGTAATCCGAAGTGTTCATCGCAAATTATGTCTTTTTTCTCGCAAGAAAAATTCAAATTTCCCAGAATAAATTCGTAAACTCCTCCGAATTTCCTCCTCTTTCGCACAATTTTTAGAAATTAACTAACGACGTTGTATCGAATATCGAAAGGAGAGGAAAACGCGGATGGACTTTGCCCCAATTACGGAGTCTTAGATTATTAAATGTCGGCGTGGAAATCGAGCAATGGCTCGAGCGTCCAACAATTGTTTAAACGTAAGAATCGGATGGATCTAAATTTTGGAGAAAGATCGATCCTCCTTACACTCACTCTCGTATGTGAACGCGCGCAATTGGATTTCGTCTGGAGCGAAAAGGAGAGAAAAGAAGGGAAAAGCGGAAACGAAGCGGATTTCCGGATTACTCCATGAAAATTTAATGGATGGAAGTGTGCTTCTCTTTATTTCGATCGTGATGAGGAGCGACGAAGGTAAGGCCGGCTCGCGGCTGGCATTTTAAACCGCGATCGGCACGAGGCTCGCTATATACCCGCCTTGCATAATCCACGATGCACGTGCCTGTGCATAAGAACGCATAATTTTCCACGCAGAATGCATCCAACCTTCGAGCCTTGTCACTCGGCGACGACCGACCGCTTGCCTCAATGGCGCTCCTTGTTTTCACCAATGCGCTTATCATCGCCACAGCTGCGCCTTCCATCATCTTCGCGCGCCGCCGCACGCTTCCTCGCTCTTTTTTTCCTCTCTCTCTCTCTCTCTCTCTCTCTCTCTCCTTACGTACGTAGTTTCTCGTAGCTTTGTATTAACGTACAAGAAGAAAGGAAAAAAGAGAGAAAAGTGAACACATTTTTCACGGATGGAAATAGATGAAAAGGTCAACTTGTTTTTATTTTCTCTCTCTCTTTTTTTCTTTTTTTTAATTGGAATGATATATATATTTTTTTTCGTGTTGTTTATCCGTGTATTTCTTATCTGATAGATATATATTTTCATGTATATTGAATGATAGTTGAGGGTCGTTCGACGTCAACCAAGATGAAGAAATATATATATCTCGAAGGAGACTTTATTTTTCTAAACGTCAAAAATATTCGATAATTATCGTTTCATTGGCTTCGAGTAGAATAAATAATTTTTGAAATTGCTCGATACGAAACTATATTCCACGATGCCTCGACCAGAATTATGCCTCGTACTGTTATGCATGTGGAACACGAATATATTAAAGTTCCAAGATAATGAATATAGTAGATCGGCATGGAACGCGGGAGAGTCACGCATGAGGGGATAATTCGAATGATCATATCGAGTTGCAACTTACCTCGTAATAAACCTTCGAAATAAATCGTCGTTTCTCCTCCAGATTTTCGCATCCGTCTCGGGAAGAAAGCAGGGGAGGAGGATGGGGAAAGACTGTTGTTTCGATCTTTCTCAAAATTTCCTTTATTTACTTATTTCGCGGGAAAGAATTTTTCCAGAGCTTCATCAATTAATTTAATTCAACCGAGCGAGAATCTTTCGTTCGTTCGTTCGTTCGTTCCTTCGTGTGCTCGTTGGTCGGCCATTACATTCCTCTCTCCCCCCACCTCCCCTCCCGTAGCGCCTTTTCGATCGAGTCACGCTTTATGACCATCAGCTATCCGCCAAGTTT